CCAGCTGAGGCCTGCCTCAAGCACCTCTGCCAAGACCCCCTTGTCAAGAGAAAGGCAGAACTTTCAGGACACTTTACTTTCAGTATTCTGGACTTGTCCACTCCTAGCTCCTCCCCACTCACTTTCCTCTGTTCCTAAGTCCGTAAAATGACAGAAGTCTTTCGTTGGGGCTCCCCAGGCAGTGAGACAGTGCCCTCTGTCTGCACTAATGCATCTGACACTTACCTTGAATAGTTCCAAGGTAGGTAATAGAACAGTGTGATGCTGGTACTTCCTCTTACCCAACCTCTTGTTTATACTGTTTCAGTAAGAGGGTAAAGGCTTAACTTCTTTCATTTTGATTTGTAGCCTTAGTTGACTACTCCAACATATGGCCACTAAGCCCTCTCCAGGTCAGCTCAGCTCTTAACACTGACCCCCCCCAACCACCACCTATGCTGCTACTGCCCACCCCACCAGTGTCATACCTGCTGCCGTCAGAGGCACCTTGTGCTTCTTTGGTGGTTTCTCTTCTACCTTGTGTTCATGAGTCTTCATGCTAGGGTGGAAAGGTGCTTCTAAAGCCTTGTACTCAGAGGCCAGCTTACGACTGTGCGTTTGAATTTCCTGTCCAAGGAAAGAAATTGGTAATAAAGAACTACTTCAACTTCTTCTGGGGGATGTAAACTATTTATATGCCCCAAAACACTCACATCCAGACAGGATTTGTCCTACCTTTCCAGGGAGAAAACAGTAGTTAAGAGACAGTAGGTTTTCTCCACCTTTCTCCCAAAGGAAGTATCTAATTCTCATCTCATGCCCCAGGAGACATGCACATTAGAGCATACAGTTGACAACCCCAGGGGTGTGTCACTGTAGAAAGAGATGAGAACAGTTTTTATCATTGCTCTTGAGGAGGCCAGCTCCTAACTAGATAAAGTAACTTGCTTAAGGACATGTAAACTTGAATTTATATAACAACACCTCTTACGACTTTCCTACATAGTATCTTATTGGGTCCCTATAAAAAAATGGTAGATGACATGGAAGGAAAACAAGATTTTGTTTTCTTCTATCATTTACACACCACAACTTCATTTTTCCTTTCCTCAATGAATCATCCCTGACGACTCCCTAAAGGCCCACTTTGTAGGTAAGAGAAAGTAAAACGCATATTTACCCAAGTTCATATTCAGTACAAAGAGTGAGAAAAGGACTTGAACCCAACTCTTTAGCTGCTACTCCTTTCCCCCACCTTCCTGGACTTTTCTAGATGTGGTTCTGAACTGAAGCTAGGTCTTTCACCTGTCTGCTCAGGAGCATGTCCACTGCCCTGTACTCACCCGGGACAGCACACCAGGCTTCAGCAGAATTTTGTTGCTGATGTGTGGGAGGTTGATCACATTCTTCTTCTCCTTGGTATCCATAAAAGGGAGTGAAGTAATGTTGGTGTTTGTACCCTATAGAAGGAGAAATTGGATAAGGTATAGAAACCTCAGATAAGAAAATTCTCCAGAGGTCATTTCTTCTAGACTCCTCCCCACAACAAGGATGAGCCTAAACCCAGATTCTTGGAGGGAAAAAAAAAAAGAAGATTCCAGGGAGCAGAGTAATCTAGCACACAGGATCTGGGGTTGACTCCCCATTCCACCACTCACTAGCTGTAGACACTGAATGGGTCACATTGATTCTTTCTCTCAGCCTTAATTATTTCATCACTCTCAAAAATGGGACCTACCTCATAGCTTTTGTGAAACTATGTAGAGTATTCCATAAGTGATAGCCATTATTATTCTCATTCCAATATTTTACCTTCCAAACATGGGGAAGGCCTTTTTGCTATACAATGCAAATCTTTCTTGATGCAACAAAAACTCCCATTTCCTCTACGGCTACTTTATAGACTTGACCTTCTCACTTGGGTCACTGCCCTCCTACATTGATTGATTAACTGATTGGGAAAGAGATAATCTAACTATCAACAAATAGCCATGTTTAAAACTGTGTGGAGAGAAGCATGGTGATATGGATAAAGGGCTCTCATTGTCATGCTGAGTTGGCCAAAAGTGCCTGTAAAAAGCTATTTCTTCCATCCACTGCCCTCGTCCTTTCCTAAAGTCACTAACCAACACTTCCTACCTTATGCAAATGTCGGGTCATTTTGAGGTTCTTGATCTTGGAGGGTGGCTTCTGGACTTGAGCCAAAGGCTTATTTTCAACCTGAGTCAAGTAGAAGAAAAGTGTAATAAGGTCCCAAGCCACCTGGACCTTTATTTCATTTCCTTACAATAAGCAAGGTATACTTGAAGCCAGCTTTCCTGATCCCAAGCTAGGAAGAGTTCAAAGAAGCTCAAAGAGTTACTCAATGCATGAAATGAATTACTACCCACAAATAATCTTTCCAGAAGTGCTAATGATGGATCCACTTGTCTTATGATTTTCACACCTTAAAAAATCAATATATGCTTTCTTCCAACACAGTCTTAACCAGCATCCTTGTAGATGGTAAAGAATAGAAGTAGAGCTAATGTTATCTTGCTCTTTAGGAAAGAAAATGCTCTTAGTCTTGCCCAGAACTCAAAATGCCCAAAGATGCCTTAGTGGAACCTGCCAGGACACAGGTGCCCAGCCTGAATACCAGTGCTCTCATCAGAAAGGCTTCATATCTAGAAAGGGGTGGAGAGGAAAAGACCACAATCTTAGAACAATTTTTTCCAAGGTAGTAAGCACACCACAGGGGTAGGTGACATAATTCTGTGCAGGATGCAGATAGACAATCACCTAATGGCTATGCATTTATTTTGCTATCCATTTGAAAAACTATAAGAAGTACTTTAAGCATGTGATTTTTGCAGTTGTTATTACTTAGGATGAAATCAAAATTCAAGTAAAAACATAAAAGGGAGCATGAGATATGGCAAAAATTATGAAGGCAGCACTGAAATAACTAAAGTTTAGCAAACAGCCTTCAGTTTGAACACAAGTTCTGTTCTTTGAAACAAAACTTAGAATTCTCTTTCTTCCAGACCTTCCCTAGAGACCTGAAGGAAGCACATCTAAAGCTGAGATACAGGGGGCCAGACCCTTTTAAATTTGGCAACTGAGGTACAACATTTATTGTCCTTTAGCACAGCTGAGTCCTCCACAGAGCAGTACTGATGGGGGCATTTAGAATATTCAGTCTTGACCTCCTGGAATATGAAGGTAATCTGAGGGAGAGAAGATTTCACAGAGCATAGGCCATGGTCTCAGACCACGTTGGTTGATTTGCTAATGTGCACTACATGCAGATGTGGTTATCTATGAATAGACTGTGATGATATCTGAGGAAATATTGCAATTGTGAATCCACTTCTCATTAAGTAGGTTTATGAATATTAAAACTCGGAGGTATCAGCAGTAACAACAAGCTGGCATTGAGGATGCAATGGAGAGACCAACAGGTGAATGGAAAGTACATCAACAAAATACAGCCCAGACTAAATATCAGACAAAGGACATCAGTGAGTGTCAAGTGTCGATAAAAAAAAAAAAGGAAGATACCACCATAAATGCAATGAGCCCAGGAGGAGGTGAAAGGGACTTCTGGAATGTTCTGGAATGCACGGGGCTTGGTCTGGACTGAGAGGAAGGGAAGACGACATGCTCATTAGGAGAAGCAACAGTATCCAGGCATGCTCCAGGGGTCTCCACTGCTCAGAAAGGATAAGCTGGAGAACAGGGTTGGCTGTGGGTTGCAGAAGCATTGAAAGCTAGGCTAAGAAACTTGGTCTTATCCTATGGGAAAATGTGAACCACTGAAGGTTTGTACGGTATGTGCAAAGCAAAGCCATCCTTCAGAAAGATTCCTTCAGCAGCTGTGTGGCATGACAATACTCAAGGGCATGAACTTGGAAGTCACACTCTTTCATTTTGAATCCAGTTCCACTATTCATTAATTATCTGAATTTGGATGAGTCATTAACTTCTCCTCCTATTACTAGAGGATATTATCATTAACAAGCTCATAAGGTTGTTGTGAGGAAGAATGACTTTAATGTGTGCACAACACTTCAACTAGTGCCTTGAATGTGAATGAGTGATAGAGTTCAATTTTCCTCATTTGCAAAATGCAGAAAGTGATCTGTGCTCATTTCCCATGAAATTGATGGAGGATGAACAAGATGGCTAAAGGAGCTATGATGCTTAATTTGACAAAAGAATAAAACAAAAGAGAAATTCTCATAGATTAACATTATGGTAACTGTCATATACATATATTGGAAATAAACAATTAAGAAGTAGACAGCAGCTGGGCGGGGTGGCAAATGCCTGTAATCCCAGGAGCTCAGGAGGCTGAGGCAGGAGAATCTCGAGTTCAAAACCAGCCTCAGCAATATCAAGGCACCAAGCAACTCAGTGAGACCCTGTCTCTAAATAAAATATAGAACAGAGCTGGGGATATGGCTCAGTGGCTGAGTGCCCCTGAGTTCAATCCCTGGTGCCCATCCCCCCAAAAAGTTGAAGGCAGATGGTAGAAACCAGGTTTCTCTTTGTTGGAATGGAAATTTATGGATCAGAAAAGTCTGATCAATATTACCATCATGTTATAATGGACTATAATTGTAGATATAGCTCATGTTTAAGTTAATATAGATACAGATGGCTACGTGTAGAAATATTTATGTATATGTGTGCACGTGTGTGCACATGTCCAGGTGGCTTGGGATAAAGCCCTGTCAAGAAAAGTTTAAGAAAATGTCAGAGCCAAGAGGAGACTAAAGAGACATGTCAACTAAATGTAATACGGGATCCTGGAACAGACAAAGGACATTAGGTAGAAATTAAGGAAACCTGCATGAAGTATAGAGTTTGGTTAATTATGACATATCAATATTGGTTCATTATTTATAACAAATGCACTATGAGATATAAATAATAAAGAAAACTGGGTAGATGGTGGGGAGTAGTGTGTGGAAACTTTTATATCTCTTTTTTTTTTTTGGTAAATCTAAGACTATTCTAAAAATTAGTCTTTTATTAAAACAAAACTCCTATAGGAAGGGCAATGTCAGAAGGGCTGCCACTTATGATATAGTACAAATTTCTTCTACGTGGTTCAAAGGACAGAATCAGGTCAAAGTGTGGGAATTATAGGGAAGTAAATGGAAATTTATGGATCAGAAAAGTCAAATCAATATTACCATCATGTTATAATGAACTATAATTGGAGAAATGTCTGGTTCAATAAAATGAAGAATTTTATAAAATTTAGAGTTGCACATAAAAGGTAGGAATCTCTCTGAAGCATTGACTTTCCCATCAGGTGGAATCCTCCTGATGATCATCTGTGCAAAATGTGTATGGAATGGGAGTCTGGGCAAGATGTAATCTACAAAGTCCTATCAGTTTGTAAGATTTATTCAAGTGACCTCCGGATGTGCGTCTTAAGAGCTTTCTTCCGTTTGGATTTTGAGTGTCCTCCAAAGGCCCATGTGTTGAAGGTTTAGTCTCTAGCCTAAGGTACTCCTGGGAGTTGGAACCTTTCAGAACCTGGCCTCCTTCTGTTTCTCTCTTTAATGTTCCAGCTGCCATGAGACGAGAAGCTTTGTTCTAACACATGCTCCCCACTATGATGTTCTGCCTTGCCACAGGCCCAAAGCAAGAGGGACAAGCTACCATGGACTGAAATCCTCTAAAATTCTGAGGCCAAAATCAATCTTTTCCTCCTCATATGATTATCTCAGTTGTTTTGTCATAATAGCAGAAAGCTTGCCAACACAAACTTTATCTTTCCTCTCATAGAACCAAAGCTGCAATCTATTGAACAACCTTTGTCACATCATGACACATACAGAAAAAAATTTAATACTTGTACAGCAACAAGGGTCAAGACAGGAGGCAACTCACAGCCAGGGGTTCCAGCTGCCCCAGGTCTAACCAAGCCACCCCCAGGATGGGTGGCTTCTACATCTCTGCACCCCATCTCCCATACTCAGATAACAATATGTTGTTGTGCAAGATTATGAGCTTGGTGACTCTGTTTCCTGCAGTTTCTCCAAGAGGCACACAGTGTCCCATCACAACACTACATTCTTCCATGGCAGGAAGAAGAGGGTGTGATCTCCCATATTCATAGTAAAATGCCACCTTTCTTTCAGACAGTGAATTTTGGTGTCATTGTCCTTTGGCCCTGCACTGATTTCTAAGTCAATGCAACAGGAGTCTCTTTAATAGTCTCTGTATCTACATTTGAACTCTCCTGTGTAAAAAAGACTTTATTCACAGGGGCACATGGCAAAGTTGGGGCTTCCAGTGCAGCCCATGAACTGTGGCTGGATTCTGGGAAATAAGAAAGGGCACTAGGGAGCTGATAGAGCCTTTTCCACTTCTCTGTGTGCATCGCTGTTCTTAGAAGTTTCCAAAACAGCCAGAAGTCAACTGTAAAGCTCCTTGATTTCCCAAACCTTTTATATAAATATGCACTGCTTTTATAATTTAAAAATCCTATTATTTAAAGACAAAAGGGCCAAATATGGTGGCGCAGGACTCTGGGAGGCTGGGGCAGGAGGATCCCAAGTTCAAGGCCAACACCAGCAATACAGCAAACCCTGTTTCAAACTAAAAGATTTAAAAAAATGACGGGGTCATGTGGCTCAGTGATAAAATTCCTCTGAGTTCAATACCCAGTACCGAAAAATAAAAATAAAAACAAAAGGTATTACAACAGGTAATTATCAAAGGTTCAAATCAATGATGGGGCAGGAGGTACTCTGGGCAACTGAGAGCCTAGATAGAGTGGATTAGATTATAGAAGAGGACAGTGAGGAACCTGGGTGGGAGAACCTGGGAGGATAGAACAGGAGATGCTGGCTGAGGTTGTTAAGATTCTCCCCACTAGAGGCCCTCATTTAAATTTGAGGCCTCCTCTGTTGTCTCTATCTGTGCTTCCCATAGCCAGGTCATGGACCCACAGGGACTGGACACCACACGAAAATGCAAGTAATTGGCTGATCCGAGCCTGGAGTTTCTTGTCCTGACCCAGGGCCCCTCCTCGCCTCTCTCCTGTCTGTTTTCTGAGCTAGCTGGCTAGTTCTCACTAGGCCAGGCACTTAGGTTCTCACACTTATTTTGTTTTCTCAGACAAAACCTTAAACCATGGCAGGTGGCAGATTCTATCTGCTGCTTTATAAAAGCCAGCTCACCTTTCTCAAATAGAAGCTGCGTTCAATTTAAA